GTTTAAAGATTTTATTTATTTATTTGACAGAGGGAGAGAAAGAGAGGGAGAGAGCACAAGCGGGGAGCAGCAGGCAGAGGGAGAGGGAAAGGGAGAAGCAGACTCTCTGCTGAGCAAGGAGCACGGCATGGAGCTCAATCCCAGGATCCTGAGATCACGACCTGAGCAGAAGGCAGACACTTAACAGACTGAGCCACCCAGGTGCCCCGAGAATACATTTTTTAAAAGAGCTGTATTGAGGGGGTGCCTGGGTGGCTCAGTCAGTTAAGCCACCAACTCTTGGTTTTGGCTCAGGTCATGATCTCAGGGTCCTGGAATCAAGCCCTGTGTCAGACTCCACGCTCAGTGGGGTCCGCTTGAGGACTTCTCTCCCTCACCCTTTGCCCCTCCCCCCTCTTCCGTGCTCTGTCTAAATAAATAAATCTTTAAAAAAAAGCTGTACTGAGGTACAATTGACGTAAAATTAAGTACATCTATTTGATAAGTTTTGACATATGTGTACACGTTGGAAACCATCACCGTAACTAAGAACGTATCCATCACCCCCTAAAGGTTTTCTTATACCCCTTCAAGGTTGCTCCCTCTGACCCCTTCTCACTACCTCTTCCATTTCCCAAGCAATCATTGATCTGCTATTTGTCACTATAGATGAGTTTACAGTTTTTGGAACTTTATGTAAATAGAATCACAGAGTATGTCTTTTTCAATTAGCTTCTTTCACTCAGCATAATCATTTCGATATTCATCCATGTTGTATATGTCAACAGTTTATTTCTTTTTATTGCTGAGATGCACCACAATTTGTTTATCCATTCACCTGCTGATGGACATTTGGGTTGTTAACAGTCTTTGACTACTAAAAATAAAATTGCTTCGAGCCTTTGTGTGCAAGTATGGACATACACTCTCATTTCTTTTATGTAAATATATAGCTGTGGAATGGCTGGGATAATATAATACATGTTTAACTTCTTTAGAAACCACGAAACTGTTTTCCAAAATGGTTGTACCATTTTCCATTTCCACTAGCAGTGTATGAGAGTTTGGTACCCCCACATCCTCAACACTTGTTACTGTCTGTGTTCTTAATTTTAGCCATCTTACTGTGTATGCAATAGTATCTCATTGTGGTTTGGATTTACATTTCCTTGATGACTGATGATGTGCTGAGCATCCTTTCATGTGTGAATTTACCTTCCATAAGTCGTCTTTGGTGAATTGTCTGTTTAAATCTTTTGCTCCCCCACCTTTCCAAAAATTGAATTTCGTTTTCTTATTAATGAGTTTTTAGAGTTCCTTACATACTCCAGATACAAATCCTTTATCAGATATATGATTTACAAATATTTTCTTTTGATCTGTGGCTTTCCTTTTTTAAAATTATGTTAATGGTGTCATTTGAAGAGCAGAAGTTTTTATTTTAGTAAAGTCCAGTTTATCAATATTGGGGGGAGGGTGTTATATCTAAGAGATATTTGCTTAACCCAGGGTCATAAATATTTTCTCCTTAGAAGTTGCATAGTTTTAGGCTTAAAATTAGGCCTATGATCTATTTTGAGTTAATTTTTGTATATGGTGTGAGATGTGGATTGAAATTCTTTTTTTTTTTTTTTTGCATATGGATATCCAGTTGTTTTAGTACCATTTGGTAAAAATGACTATCCTTTCTCCATGGAATTGGCTTTTCATCTTTGTCAAATCTCAGCTGTCCTTGTATATGTGGGTTTATTTCTGGACTCCTTATTCTATTCCAGTGATCTATTTATCTATCTTTGTGCCCGTACCACGTTGTCTAGACTGGATTTTAAGTTTCTCCAAGATAGGAATCATGTTTTGCATATCTTTTTGTCCAGCCAACTTTACCAATCTACTACTTTGAGTACAGTAATCAATATATTTATTGTATTGAAAAAACAGAAACCTTACAACAACCACTTAACAAAATAATATGGAGTTGAAATCACAATTTAAAGAGTATTTAATATTTTGAAATATTTCTGTGTCTGCTATGACTCCCTATACATTAAACTTTTTTCAAAACTAATTTTAATTATATATATACACACATATATGTATATATATTATATAAATGTGTTTCCTTTTTAATAGTTTTTTTTTAAGATTTTATTTATTCATTTGAGACACAGAGATACAGAGAGAGAGAGAAAGCATGAGCAGGGAGAGAGGCAGAGGGAGAGGGAGAAGCAGGCTCCCTGCTGAGCCAGGAGCCTGATGTGGGGCTCGATCCCAGGACCCTGGGATCATGACCTGAGCCAAAGGCAGACACTTAACCATCTGAGCCACCCAGGCGCCCCTAAATGTGTTTCCTTTTTAAAATTAAAGCCACAGGCGTGCCTGGCTTTAGTCACATGCTACTGCATGTGACTCTTGATCTCAGAGTTATGAGTTCAAGCCCCACTTTGGGTATAGAGATTACTAAAAAAAATAAACTTAAAAAAAATAAAGCCAAAATCCCTTTGATGATTCCCCCAGATCTTTCACCCATACACTCTTTGTTTGCTGTGTGTCCTTCTGGACCCTTTTCTAATGTACTTGCACAAGTATTTATATTTTCTACTGGTTTGAGATAATTACTCCTAAAGTCACTTTAAACCTTTATCTCATACTTTCCAGCACTGTATCCCTTTGTACTACATTCTGAGAGGATTTGATGTTCCAGTTCACTATTGCCCTCTTTATCTGTCTTTATTCTGCTTTCCAATCGGTATATCTAACCACCCTCCCCAATTATATTTTTCTTTCTAAGATCTCTAAGGCTATTTTTTCATGGTTGCTCTTATTCTGAAACTGTCTGTTCTTGTTTTATGGATACCACATTTTCTCTGAATATTTTAATTACACTTAACTTGGAAGTTTACTCTGACTCGTTTATGAACTCTGCTTCTTCAGGTGTATGTTCAGGTATATGCATATTAGACTTTTGAGGAAATGTCTGGAGAGAAGATGGTACTGCTTCTACCTGTTGAGCTCCACACACTGTAGTGAGAGTTAGGGAAGGGCAGAGTAGTGTGGGTGCTCCCTGTTCCTGCTGGGCATCCTGAGCCCCTGGAGCACTGCCTTCCCCCTCATACCCAAACTCCTGTAGTCATTGCCCCTACCTGGAAGTGTGTCATAGGTGGGTGGGTGGCAGCAGTGCTCAGAGTTTATCCGCTGGCTTTTCTCATTATGATTCTCCAAATAACAACCCTGTTGGTTGTCTTCATGCCCCTCCCTGTTTGGGCTTCCACCAGTTCTACCTTCTGCAGCAGAACCCTACCATTCCTGGTCAAGGGCTGCAGGGTCTGTCTTCAATCTGACCTTCGTGTTTCTTAGGGATTTCTCTGCAATCTGTCGACTTTAAGGTTTTTTTGTTTTGCTTTAAGCTCAGATATTTATGTTTATTTGTTCATCTATTTATTTATGGTTGGTACCTTTTCTGTTATTTTAGAGATTGATTCACTGTGGGAGGGGAAGACTGTGACATGTTACCAGTCTGAAAATTTTAAAACTCGAAGCCCTGTTTTCTTTTTTAATTTATGCCCTGCTTTTGCTAAGATGGACTTGTAATGACAGTACTGTGAGTGAGTAGCATATGATGACTGAGGAAGACGAAAGCTGGTGACTTTTTTGGGTGCTTTCCTTCCTCATTATTGCTTCTATAGTATATCATCAGCAGATGGTTGAATTGGGTTAAGTTGAACTGGAGAAGAATGTGTGGGTAGGGTAGGAGCAAAGTGTTGCTTATAGTCGGGTAGCAGCTGTGCACATCTGTACCTGCTTACTTTTTTTTAATTCAGTTATTGTTTTACCTGAAATTTGTGTGTTTACTGAAACCTACTGCAAATTCAAACATCAAAAAATTATATATAGTAATGAAATTCACTAAGATATTATCAAATATTAATATGTATTTTAGACAATTGTAGAGACTTGGAAAAATTTATTAGTTACAATAAGGGAAAAAAGAATTACTTTCCAGTCACTATTGAATTGGATCGGTTCCAGGGACTGAGAAAAATATAAGAGAGGTTGCCAGAAGGAAACAAAAAAGAAATTCATGTATACTGGACATATGTTTTCATTTCTTTGAATATATTCCTAGGAGTGGAATTGCTGGGTCATATAGTGACTCAGTGTTTAACCTTCTGAGAAACTGCCAAACTGTTGAAAGCACATCATTTTACATTCTCACCAATATTGGATGAGGGTTCTAATTTACTCCATAGCCTCACCAACACTTGTTACTGTTTGTCTTTTTGATTATAGCCATCCCGGTGGGTGTGAAGTGGCATCTTATTGTGGTTTTGATTAGTATTTCTTGGATGGCTAATGATGTGGAACATTGTTTCATGTGCTTATTGGCCATTTTTGTATCTTTGGAGAAATGTCTCTTTAGATTCTTTGCCCATTTTTTAAATTAGGTTATCTTTATTATTGAATTGTAAGAGTTCTTTATATATTCTGGATATTAGTCCCTTATCACATATGTGATTTGCAGGTGTTTTCTCCCATTCTGTGGGTTGTCTTCACTTTTCTTTATAATGTCCTTTGAAGCACCAATGTTTTAAATTTTGATGAAGTCCAAAACTGTTTGGGGCATAACTCAAATGAACAAGCATCTCTTTAGGGCATAGAAGACGCTGATGATCTAGACAAAGAAGACGTTGCTTTGGAATGCTAAGACTGGATTTTTTTCCCCTCACACTCTGCTCCAGGAAAGCTCTACCTTTCACACTCCAGATTTGCTGATTGTGATATGGAGTTGTACAGGTTTTCCTGCCCTCTGGAATGGTGTGACAGGTAGCAAAACAGCATTTTTCAGTGTTCTGCCCTTACTAAAAGGCCCCTCAATGAGTGGAGTGAGGTAGTTAGCAGTCTCTGTATTTGGAAGAGTGGCATTGTCTGTGAATCATAAATCACATCTGAGGTGGAAGTGAAACTCCTCTAATTAACCGCTGTGAAAGCAACTCACCCTCATTCTTGTTTTGTGGTTTCTCCAGTTCTGGACTTCAGCGATCCCTTCAGCACTGAGGTGAAGCCCAGAATCCTGCTCATGGGCCTGAGGAGAAGTGGCAAGTCATCTATTCAGAAAGTTGTCTTTCATAAAATGTCTCCCAACGAAACACTGTTCTTGGAGAGCACAAACAAGATCTGCCGGGAAGACGTTTCCAATAGCTCCTTTGTTAACTTTCAGATTTGGGACTTCCCAGGGCAGATTGACTTTTTTGACCCTACATTTGACTATGAGATGATCTTCCGGGGAACAGGAGCGCTGATATTTGTCATCGACTCCCAGGTAAAGTTCAGTCTCGGGATACTTGGGACTGCAGACCCCTCCTCCCCCCAGACGCCATCCCTCCCCTATGTTCAAACCACTTCCTTTGTGTTGGTTTTGGTGTGGTTTTTAGAATCGGGAATAGCCCTTTTTACCAAACAAGCGTTTCTCAGTGGGGGCTCTCAGGGGTGCAAAGGAAAAAAGTCTTCCTCTGTGGAACCCTAACCAATGAGCAGTGAGCAGCGTCAGGGAGTTGTCTACATCTCAGCAAATCACAGAAACCTTATAGATGGAGAGGGCCACCATACAGCCCAAGGACAACAACTACATGTCCCCTGCCCCCGATATTCTTGGCAGACATCTGTAAAATAGCACAGGTTCTCTGCAACAAAAATATGTATATAAGCCTGCATTTTAAAATATTTACTCGGGGCGCCTGGGTGGCTCAGTTGTTAAGTGTCCCAGGGTCCTGGGATCGAGCCCCACATTGGGCTCCCTGCTCTGCGGGAAGCCTGCTTCTCCCTCTCCCACTCCCCCTGCTTATGTTCCCTCTCTCGCTGTCTCTTTCTCTGCCAAATAAATAAATAAATCTTTAAAAATAATAATAAAAATAAAAAATAAAAAGGAAAATTACATTTATAAAAATTAATAAATAAAATGTTTACTCTTTCCTAGGAAGATAAAGTTCTAAGTATGAAATTTTTCTTTTGAATTAAATTATTGTAATTATTACTAGTACACAATTGATAGCATAACTATTACTTATTTTATAGGTAAGTACTAAATATAAAAAGTAAAATTTCGATTGATAAGTATATCTTTTAAGATGGTGGATATTTTTCCACTTAATTCACATATCCATGCTTGAATAAGACAAGATTTGGCATCAATTCTATTTTTTGATTGTGTCGATGTAAGCACTAAGAAACCTTGTTCACATAAATAAGTAGATGGATATGGGGTGAGTTTTGTTATAGCGTTCACTCAATTATTTAAACACTTTCCAAGTTATATCCCCTAAATTGCCCAGTTTTCTATCACAAAGGTTTGTTTTTACTAGTTAATCAGTAGACATCCTGATTGGGCCTTCCTTTAACTTTGCTGAAAGCAAAGACGTGGGGACCCCCTGACTGGTGAAGAGTCTTTGTACCCAGGAATCAGTTATTCACTTTATTAGTATACAAACTGGTCTTCTGAATTGTCTCTTTGGTCCTCTGGGCCTTTCTCCTGTGAAGTGGGAGCCAGCAGTTAAAGGGGGGGAGGGGGGAGGGAAGCAGCAGATTTCAGGTACATCTCAGGCATGCCGGTCTTAGGAAAGAGTACAGGGAACAGAACTGAGACAATGATGCTCTTCAAACTCTCTATGTCCAGGCACTCTTAGAAAGTGTCCTGGAAGCCTAGCTGAGGCTGAAGTCTCTCCCAAGGGCTCTCTTTTACAGCTATGGGGGATAAATGGCAGTAAGTCCTTCCAGAAATGCACTAAACCAGCTCTAAGTTCAGGGCAGGATATTTCCCTGAAACTGGACCTGCAATCATACAGATGGGCCAAGCACACCTGCCCCTTCCAGAAGTGCCAATGGAGTTAGGGAGGCAGGGACATGTAAACTGTTAGTAATAATGGTTCTGAGCCCGCTCTTGGAAAACCCATTCTCTGAGAAGACTGCTCATGCCCGAGAGCCTCGTAAATTCATCCAGGGAACTAGGTGCCTGTTTAATATAATAATGAAATTTTCAACTAAGCCTTTTAGTTCCAAGTGATTGCACTGCGTACTTCTAGTGTAGCTGTGAGAGTGTGGCCATCTGGAAGGAGGGGCTCTTTCTTTCTTTTTTGGTGGTGGTGCGCTGGGTGGGGTGGGGGGAAGACTTTAAATTCTGGTGCCTGATCTGTGAACAGCAGTGCCTCCCCTCTCCTGGGCCCATCTGGAAATGCACGCCTGTAGACACCTGCATCAGGTCCAAGCCCTGCTGTCGGTGGCTGCTTTCCTGGCTGTCCCACTTGTACTGACCTGTTTTCTGGCCCATCTGTGGCCTTGGCAGTAGCCCCTGCCTTCCTGCCTAGGTCTGCCGGCACCATAAATTAGGGAGCTTGAGCAGGACGGAGCAGCCGGGTTGTGTGCGCGCTGCCGCACGGAGGGCGAGCTATCGTCTATGCCCCACCCAGCTGTCTCTTCGAAGCTCCAGGTTTTTCCCCAAGTCACTCCACTGCTGTTTCTGCAGTTGTTGAACCAGGTGGCAGTGGTAGTAGCCTGACCCTTGGGTAAGAAGATTCCAGTCAGAGGACTCCTCTTTTCAAGACAGTGGCTTAGGAAGTATTCACTTCAATACCATGTTGTGCTTATGTAGCAACTGGCGTTTCTAGAATTCAGATGTCCAACGCAGCCCTATCCTAGGTGTTTGTACTATGGCTATAAGGTGGCTAAAAATAGGTTCGCTTGCCTATTTTTAAGTTGCAACTGTAATTTGGTTTTAATGTTACCTGAACATGAAAAGTGGCCCTTCAGTTTGGGTTGGTAAATGTGTGTTTTCTTTTATTTTGTTTCTTGTGGGTTTCTTTTTTTCCCCCTAGCTGTAGGGAAGAGAAAGGTATAAGAATGTTTGAGAAATTTGTCTTTTTAAGTTCCACTTTCAAAAAGGGTGGAAAAACATTGTTGAGAGCTATCATTTACTAAAAAGAAGGAATAATGAAATAAGCTGTTTTAGAGTCTGTGTAATATATACTTTTGTATTGGAAGCAGACTGTAAAAACCATGTTTTCAGGAATTTTTATATGATGTGATTATAAGCACTGAAAAGAAAAGCAAACTTCAGGCGATCTTGGCAGGCACTTGAACGTCATTGCCTGTATTTCTAAACAGGGCTCTGTTGGTCTGACGCCTCAAATTTTTATTTTTTCCTTGTGAGTTCCTCACAATCACAGGATTGCCAGATAAATATATCACCAAGGAGAAAATGTGTCCTCCCAGAATGTTGTAAAATGAAAGAGCATGAAAGGATCCAGAGTGATTTCCTGTGAGCTAACTGCATGACACTGTCAGCCCCCCAGGCAGAGCCCACAACATGTCCCCACACCCCAGGGCCATCCTTGGCCCCCTGAAGCCATATCTCACGGGCCTTGGGATCCAAAATGAAGTGTCAGCTTCATCTACATTGGTGATTGTGACCTGCCTGTAATTCCTAGATCTAGTTTTTTGTTTTTTTTTTTAAGATTTTATTTATTTATTTGACACAGAGAGAGACACAGTGAGAGAGGGAACACAAGCAGGGGGAGTGGGAGAGGGAGAAGCAAGCTTCCCGCGGAGCAGGGAGCCCGATGCGGGGCTCGATCCCAGAACCCTGGGATGATGACCTGAGCCGAAGGCAGATGCTTAACCAACTAAGCTACCCAGGCGCCCTCTATATCTAGTTTTGGAATAGGAACTAAGGCGGTGTATTTTTCCTGTATTTTTATTTGTTGTAGAAAATATTAACAGACACAGTGGGAAAAATAAGCCACGCGCCCTCTGTTCGAATAAACCAAGTATTTTCTTCTTTCAAATGTTATTTTTAGTCCTAAGTACCTGCCACTTCATCACTTAGTTGGTAATCAGATCATTTTATATGGCTGGCAGGAAGTTACAGTAACAACTTCTGATCTTTTGAGATTGTGATACTCTCTTGACATTGGCTAGTTTTGCTCACAGACGTGTCCCCTTAACTCCCCTCTTCAGTTAAAGACATAAACCATAACAATTTTTGAGGTATAATTTACATACAATAAGATGCATTCATTGTGAGTTTACAGTTCAGTAAGTTTGACAAATGGGTATAACTTGTAACCACTCCACAGTCAAGATATAGACTATTTCTACCACCCGAAAAGCTTCCTTTGTTGTCCTTTCGCAGCCTTCCCCTGATTTTCAAGACAATGTAAATGAATTCTGTATGTTGTTTAGGGATACATATATATGTAGTAACATATAAAGAGATGATTGAAAGTAAACGCTAAACTCAGGAATAGTGGATACCTCTGGAGGGTGGGGGGTAGAGTGGTGGTGTGGGCCGGGAGGATGGGGAGAGACACATGGGACTTCAGTGTCTACTGTTTGATTTCTTTTTTTTTCTAAGTTTATGTATTTAATTAATCTCTATGCCCAGTGTGGAGCTCGAACTCACGACCTCAAGATCAAGAGTCACATGCTCAGGGCGCCTGGCTGGCTCACTTGATAGAGCATGCAACTCTTGATCTCACAGTTGTGACTTTGAGCGCCATGTTGGGTGCCCAGGTAGCTTAAAAAAAAGAGTTGCATGGTCCTCCAGCTGAGGCAGCCAGGCACCCCTGCTGTTTGATTTCTTAAACAAGGAGATGCATACGCAGATGTTCATCATATTATAAAAGTGTCATTTGTAGGAAGGAGAAAAAAATAGTATTGCATTATTTGGGTCAGTTACTCTAGATCAGAGGTCAGCAAACTGTTTCTGTAGAGGGCTAGTTGGTAAGTATTTTAAGCTTTGCAGGCTGTCTGTACCATCTCCGAGGAGTTTCCACAGAGGAACACCCCTCAACTCTGCCACTGCACCAGAAAAGCAGCCATAGACAATAGGTAAATAGATGAGTATGGCTGTGTTCCAATAAAACTTTACTTATAAGCAACACAGAGTGGATCCAGTTTGGTCCTTGGGCCATGGTTTGCTGACCTCTGCTCTAGACCAGTGCTCTTATCTTTCCTCCTGGCTCCTTCCCCATCCTCCCAGCGACCCATATCACATTTCCATCTCTAACTGTTTATCACCGTTCACCCAGGGACTCAAAAATCTGGGAAGAATAGTATCCCAGGGAAGGTTCTAGGTGGTATGGGGTCATTTTGAATTCATAAAACTGCCATGCTGATCTTACTGACTGTCATCAGGCTACATCATGACTGCCTACAGCTGTGTTTTTCCTGCCTTTCTTTTTCATCTCTTTGTTCATGAAACTTCAGTTTTCCAACTTGAATTCCATGAAACCAGCTTTTATTTGGGCTTTTGCAAAATATTTTGGAGGATTGTACCCACATGGTTTCCAAATTAGGAGTGTATATGAAAGAAAAAAAAAGGTAACTCTGAAGTAAGGTGATGGGGGGTAGATTAATTAACTCGATTGGGAAGATCATTTCATGATGTATATGTATATCAAAACATCATATTGTACACCTTAAATGTACACAGTGTTTATTTGTTGATCATACCTCAATAAAACGGGGGAAAAAAAGAGTGTCTCTGGAAGGCAGCATAGAAGGGTTTGGCCTCCCCTGACAGGAGTGTGCCTTTGTTCCCAGGACGACTACATGGAAGCCTTGGCCAGGCTCCACCTCACCGTGACCAGGGCTTACAAAGTGAACACTGACATCAACTTCGAGGTGTTTATTCATAAAGTGGATGGTCTGTCAGATGACCACAAAATTGAAACCCAAAGAGATATTCATCAGAGGGCAAACGATGACCTTGCAGATGCTGGATTAGAAAAAATTCACCTCAGGTGAGAACAGAAACCCTTCCGGGATCACAGTAATCAACGGAAAAAAGCAGGTGTGGAGTCCAAAGTCAGCACGAATGGTTTGGTGTTCACCTGTTTACCCTATTTGTGCCGTACACATTGGGACAGGATTTGGGAAAAGCAAGCTTTGCATGTGCTAATTCTAATTTTTGTTTTTGTTTTTTAAACAAATGGTCAAAGCTAATGTTTTCCCCACATAGGAAAAACATAAAACTCAGGAACATAATTCAGGAAGTTAATCAATGCTGAAGTTTACAATTCTTGATAAATATGATAGTATTTATAGTCACAAGTAAAAGAGAACTCTGAAGATAATTCAAATAAAAATACAGAGGAAAACCACTTCTCTGTCAGTTGTTTTTCTTTTTAAGATTTTATCTTTAGGTAATCTCTACACCCAACATGGGGCTCGAACTTACAACCCCAAGATCAAGAGTCGCATGCTCCACTGACTAAGCCAGCCAGGCGCCCCTCTGTTAGTTTTTTATGGGGAAGTGTATGCATCATTCGATTTGCAAATTGGAAAATGAAGATCTTAGATGCTTCAATATCAGTAACATAGCCATTACTAACCTAACAGGAGTGTGTAGAGATGACCTGGTGGGGATTCTTCTGCAGAATGTAAGGAAGCTCGTATGGGCACATACCACTGTATTTTTAAGCTTTCCAGTCCAGCTAGTCAGCAGATGAGAATGGGCACAATTCTGGCTTTTTGGGAGCTGGGGAGGAATGACTTGTTAAGACATGTTCATTTTTTGCTGAGGTCATTTTAAGTTCCGAAGGGGGCTAGAATGCGTGCGTAGGGACTGTAGGTACACACGGCCGGGCACCGTGTTGTGACAGCCTAAGCAGTCTGTTCCCCAGTCAGAAGGAAAATGTGACGAAATACTGTTTTCTCTTTCAGCTTCTATTTGACGAGCATATATGATCATTCAATATTTGAAGCTTTTAGCAAAGTGGTTCAGAAACTGATTCCACAACTCCCCACCCTGGAGAATTTGCTAAACATCTTTATCTCAGTAAGTAAATACTTTTCTCCCGTTAGAATCATTTGCAGAATTTTAGAATAACATTGCAAGTGTGAAAACAGTCTTATTTCTGCTTGCGCTTACGGCATTGCAAGGTCACTAAAGCGATTACTCTGGAAGATTGCTCCTACGTGCTGTTTTATGTTCTTTAACATTTCACTCCCCAAACCATTCCTGTACTGTCCTGGTATAATTAGAATGTTTGTTAAAGTTATAGGCAATCATTCAATGTTGATAGAGCCCTACGAGATGCAGGAAGCTTAAGGGTGGTTGTGGCGCTAAGATATAACCATTGAGTATTTTCTATCTGTTTAGCACTGTGGATGATGTGCTGTCTGAATGAATCCTATAAACTGTCAGGTCTAGGCAAGCTCTGCTGCTGACTCGAGTCAGACTTGTTGGTTCTACTCATATTTACTCTGTCACTCCATAGTTTGGGTTAGATTTTATTTATTTATTTAAGATTTTATTTATTTGACAGAGAGAGAGAGAGGACAAGCAGGGGGAGTGGCAGGCAGAGGGAGAGGGAGAAGCAGACTCCCTGCTGAGCAGGGAGCCTGCCGTGAGGAACCTGGGATCATGACCTGAGCTGGAGGTAGACGCTAACCAACTGAGCCACCCAGGCGTCCCTAAATTTATTTTATTTTAAAATTTACAGTCAGTAAAATTAGTGTTTTTACTTGCCTTTCCCTAACTGCAGGTACATCTCTAAAAGCCAGGAAACACTGCCCAATTTGTTTACCTACAGTAAATAATTTATGAAAAATAAGAATTTTCCATTTCTTATGCAAATCCATTATAAAGGTTTATGTGAGGTTTAAATTGTAATAAAATAGAACAAAACTTTTAGTAAATTATTTTTGTTCATTCATATTTTACATTGAGGATGGCATGTAATTTTTTTATACAGTGATGATATGTTCTAAAATCAGTGTCCCTTTAAGATAGCATCTTCTTTTTGTTTCAGAATTCTGGAATTGAAAAGGCATTTCTCTTTGATGTGGTCAGTAAAATTTATATTGCAACTGATAGTACCCCAGTGGATATGCAAACCTATGAGCTCTGCTGTGATATGATCGATGTGGTTATTGACATCTCTTGTATTTATGGGTAAGTAAAATATTCTTAAAGGGTACAAATAAGCCATACTTCAGATTAGAAAATGAAACCTTTCATAACCTTTGTAACATTTGCATTTACTTATTTGATTTTAATACTTTTGTTTTAAATAACTGAGATCTGTAAATAAATATACCACTTAGCATGCAATAACAACCAAAAATAATTGATTAAATGCCTGACATTTTGCTAATAAGCGTATTGCATACATTATATCATTTAATTCCCTGCTATTCCATGAGGTGGGAATTATTATCCCCATTTCACAGATGGGGAAACTGAGGTTCAGAGTGGTTAGATTTCTAACCCCTGCTCACACTGTCAATAAAGGATAGAACTGGAATTTGAACTCAAATCTGATTCCTGGTTTTTCTACTGAAAAATCTGTCATCATATCATAACGTCATACACACTTGGGAGAGACTAATAGGATCCTCGAACTCTAAATACATATCGCATATTAACAACAGTTCTATTACTTTCTTCATTATAGGAAATAACTGCCGGATTTGTCTTCTTTTATGAGCAGCAGAGAATTACAAAACTAAGCAAACATTACCTGTTTATTATCATAGTCTTAGAGTCTTGGGAAACAGAACCTCCTATACACTTACAATATTATAAAATAAACAAGGAGTGGAGAAAATTGATTGTCGTACTGAACATAGAAACAATTCCACATAATTTTAAATTTCCTGAATGGGTGTCATATAGAGTAAATGGATATGAACTAGTTTGTCTTACTAAGATCAAGTTGTTGCTGTCGATTTATATTGGATCTTACATGTTTATCCAATCATTGATGGGTAAGGCTCTTGTTCATCTTCCCCTTTACTCACCAGCTGTAACCTGCCTCACACAGCCTCCTCTGTCAACTTCGGTGAGGTTCCCAGTCTCTCCATTTCTCTCTTCCTCTGTCTGAAAATCCTTTGCCCCCTCAGTTGAGATTCTTTCTGCTATACACACAAGCACGCAGGGTCCCTTCCATTATGAAATAGGGAAAGTGATACTATAAGTCTGTAGTGAGGATGACATATCGTTAGGCTTCACCTGGTAGGCCCTGGATAAATGTAGCTGCCATTATTATTATTATTATTATTATTATTTATTGTTATTATTAAACGTTGCCATCTGGTTTTAGGAACAAACCTTATTCCCCAAGATTACTGCCTTCTTAGTATTATTAAACACTGCCATCTGGCTTCAGAAATAGACCTTGTTTTCCAAGATTACTGCTCTATAGCATTCTATTGTTTTTAAACTCTAAGTGGATTGACCTTGAAATAGTCATGGAAACTGAATGTATCCTGATTACAGTCTAGATTGCTGTGGTAATCAAATACAATAAACACAATTAATCTGGCACCTATTTAATGATATGCGTAATCATTATTGTGCCATATGGTAATTAGATGTAAGTGGTAAACTGTTCATGTAAATGATGTTAATCAGAGTTCCTCTTACCCAGCTAAAACAAACATGAGGAGGGCGGTAGCAGGAGGAGTCAGATTGTTTTTCTGTGCGGGAATGCAGTGCTCCTGAGAACCCATCAGGTGCAGTAAGAACCAGTCTGGGTCGCCAACTGGGCTTGGGCCCTGGAGTTTCCTCAGTGTTTGCTGGAGCCACAAGGAGCCAGCCCAGCTAGCTAACTGGCAGCGGCGGAGGAAACAGGCTTGTTGCCAGGTCCCAGCTGCTCCGTGGAGACCAGCAGGGCCCGAGGCAGGTGACCCGGCGCCTCGGTCAGTCTGCCCCGGAATCTGCTGAACGTCTGCTCTCCAAGCGCACACACGCGCGCACACACACACACACTTTAAATATATTGCAGCTGCCTGTGATCTTACCGCTTTGTGAACGCAGACTTGAGGAGTAGCACATAGTTGTTGCAGTTGTAATCCGTCACCAGTGTTTACTTGTAATTTTTTTGGTCTTTATGGTTTTTCCAATTTGTTTAATGTGTACTTTTTTCTGAAGATGAATGCAATCCATGCTCATTGCAGAAAATGTGTAAAAGCATAAAGAATAAAATTAAAATAGCCCATAATGTCTTCACCTAGAGGCAGTCACTATTACCATTTTATTGTGTTTTATTCTTTTTTTTAAAGATTTCATTTATTTATTTGAGAGAGAGCATGAGTGGGAGGGGGGAGGGACACAGGGAGAAGCAGACTCCCCACTGAGCAAGGAGCTGGACTTGGGGCTTGATCCCAGGACACTGGGATCGTGACCTGAGCTGAAGGCAGATGCTTAACTGACTGAGCCACCCAGGCGCCCCTAATGTGTTTTATTCTTATTTCTCTGTGTAATTTTTAGGATAATGTGATCACTTTGTATATATAATTTTATATATATCCTGCTTTATGCATTTAACATTATCATCTAAGAATTTTCGTGTTATTAAGTACTGTTAGTAAATTTTCTTCATTGGGTAAAAAACTCAAATGTTTCAGTTTATTGTTCTCAGAACATTACTTATTAGCAAAAGAAATTCAATCTAGAAAAACAGCAGCTAAAAATAGTACAAAGGAAGTTAAGAATTCTGATAAAGCATCTTTAGCATCTGAGATCCAACACTTCTTAAAGATTTTTCTTTAATGTTTTGGTAGGTCACAGTGAGTTGAATCCTTTTTTTAAAAAATTTTCTTCCCTGGGTGCCTGGGTGGCTCAGTCGTTAAGGGCCTGCCTTTGGCTCAGGTCATGATCCCAGGGTCCTGGGTTGGAGTCCCACATCCGCATCAGGCGTCCTGCTCAGCGGGAAGCCTGCTCCTCCCTCTTCTACTCCCCCTGCTCGAGTTCCCTCTCTCATTGTCTCTCTCTGTCATAGAAATAAAATCTTTAAAAACAAACAAAAAAACCGCTTTCTTCCCCAATTTACTTTTAAGTAGCCATGTATGTGCCAGTTTAAAATATTCCCAAAATGAAGACTTACATTTCCTTTGAAATACTCTACAATTCAGGCTTTTCATTTAATCTGGTTTGTCACCCTACCTCCTTATGATATCTATGAGGCTAAAAGCATTAACTGAAATTAGATTAGTTTGAGGTCCTGGCTCTACCCCCATCATCAGCTTTGACCAAATTATCCTATTTCCCCTAGCCTCAGTTCCTCAATACCCAGCTTAGAGGATTCTTAGGCCAGACCATAGATAATTCATGATAAAAACTAAGAATGGTGCCTGTCACATTGTAAATGTTGGCTCTTATTCTGCAAAGGGATCAGGCTTAGCACCAGTCGTGTTACTATGTTGTATTAATAAGGTCTAGCACAATTCCAATTAAGTCAAATTTCTGGTCAATTATTCATTAATTTGGGAAGTAAAAATACACACACACACATACAGTTTCAGATAAGGGGAAAAGGTGAAGAAAAGTGCTCCTTTGCCTATGAGGAGAGGACACATACCTCTGATTACATCAGTGTCTTCGGAGGGTCCAGTTTTGATCATTAAAGGGCATCATTCATTATCATCATCATCATGGTTAACATTCACTGTGCATTTTACATGGTCTGAGCACTATGCTCAGTGCTAAATATCTATTATTTCATTGCATTGGGAAACTTTGAGGTAATTACTATTAGTATACAGATAAGGCAATTGAGGCTCAAAGAAGTTACCTTGCTCCAGTTCACAAAATAAGTGAGCTGGGGTTCAAATCCAAGTCATCTGTGTCTGCAGGCCACACCTTTTCTTAAATAGACCAGTGTATTTATTTAGTGTTTAATTTTGAAAAAATTTCAAACCTACAGAAAATGTGCAAGGATAGTCCAGTGAACTCCTATATGATACCCTTCACTGGGATCCACCCATTTTTACCAGTTTGCCATATTTGCTCTCTCTTTTTCTAATACATTTTGTGGTTTGTTTTTGCCAAACCACTGGAGAGTGAATTGAAGACATCATGATTCTTTGATCCTAGCTACTTGAGTATCTATCTCTTTAAAAAAAAATCCTCTTACAGGACCACTGTTTACTAAATTAAGCATATTTAGCATGGCTACAGTCATGCACTATCTAATATATTGTCCATATTCAAATCTTACCAATGGTCCCAATTCTATCTTTTATCCCTGATCCAGGATCTAGGCCAGTGTTTGGCTGTCATGTCTCCTTAGGCTTCTGTAATTTGGAAGAGTCATTCGGCTCTCCTCGGTCTTCCTCAGACCATGCTTTTGGCAGCCTGGTTATTCCGACAGGAAAAAACAAGAAGCCCTTATGGGTTATGGAGGGAAGAATGGCTAACCTCCATCCCTCACCTGTGTTCCTCAGGTGCCTGGAGAGATGCCTCCCTGCCCCAACAGCCACTCATTGTGTCCGTAGGAAGGGACTGTCATACACCATGTATATTCTTGTGGTTTTGTGTTTCGAAGACTTTCGTTGAAAGGCCCTGTAATTGTAAACAACTTCTCATTATGATCACCACTCTGTGTATTAGAGCTGGTCTCTGTCGCTGGGTTACAATTTGTAGTTTCTTCTCAATGGTCACACATGTTCTGGTTTCTGTCCCCATGTAGTCTCAAAGAAGATGGAGCAGGAACCCCGTATGACAAGGAATCCACAGCCATTATAAAGCTGAACAATACCACAGTTCTTTATCTAAAAGAGGTGACAAAGTTCCTGGCTCTTGTCTGCTTTGTCAGAGAGGAAAGCTTTGAAAGAAAAGGTAATTGTGTGTGTGTGTGATTTTAAATGAAATGTTTCATTTCAGACTGATAACTGCTTCTACTGCTTGTTGAATGTGGGTGATCAGCAGCATGCCTCCTGAAGCTTCCAGGCCTGAGTCACAGGTCACCTTGGCTCCTCCCCATGGCTGCCAGGCTCTCGGGATCCGGGAACCAGCCTGCTCTCTGGTGATGCAGTGCTATGAGGTAGAAGGGGCACCAGACAGTCCTCCCAGGGGTTCTGGCCTTTCCTGGAGTGAAGCGGGTTGAAGCCTTGTTAACAGGCTCTAACATCTCTTGCCAGGGACGGCCCAGCAGCCTGCGGTGAGGGCCAAGGCCTCCCTCCTGGCCCACTCCTCCGGAAGGTCTTAGGGACCGTGGGACCACTTGAGATCCCTGTGTAAAGGAGGAGACTTGTACAACATTAAAGCGAGACGTATTTAACTTCTGTTCAGCCTTTATACATTCTTCAGTCCTCAAAACGCAGGGATGGCATCCTGATTCTGAAAAGGGAAGACATGAATATACGTAATAAGGTCACTGATAAGTGAAACAAAGACAAAAGATATATAAATAAATGATAAATGTGACATAATGTAAATGTATAATACATAAATATATATAAATATAAAATAAATAAGTAAATATAAATAAAACAGAAGCAACTAACCTCAAAGAGATACTCATTTTCCCCCTACTGTTTAAACTGGGAATTTAAACTACTATTTAAAACAGCTTACTGACATGCTAGGGATTTTTGCTAGCAACTAGGGCATGATTTACCAATTTGGGGGGTAAAAAAATTCCCAACAGAGTGCCAATAGTAACATTTACTAAAATAGCCTTTTTTCCTCCCTTATAAGCACACATGTTCGTTATAAAAATACCTTGAAAATCTGGGGAAGTATAAATAACAAAATAAAACCACTCAATTTTGCCATCTAAGCTAAATTCTGTGTTACATTTCTGAGATTTTCTTTCTCCCTTCTTTCCTCCCCGCATCTTGCCTCCTTCCCCTGTCATCCCTGCCAACAAGAGGGGGCCACACTGTCTATCTGGTTTTACATCTGTTATTTTCACTCATTTATATCATGAAAATTTTCCTAAGTCATTGAGCATGAAAACATGATTTACATTTTTATTGTTTCTTGTTATTACAAAAGCAACAGATTCACTTAGAAAATTTAGAAGTAACATGGGGCGCCTGGGTGGCTCAGTCATTAAGCGTCTGCCTTTGGCTCGGGTCAAGATCCCAGGGTCCTGGGATCGAGTCCCACATCGGGCTCCCTGCTCGGCGGGAAGCCTGCTTCTCCCTCTCCCACTCCCCCTGCTTGTGTTCCCTCTCTCGCTGTGTCTCTCTCTGTCAAGTAAATAAAATCTTTAAAAAAAAAAAAAAATTTAGGAGTAACAAATAAGCAAAAAATAATTATCGACAACTTCTCACTCAGAAATCACTCTCGACATTTTCTTTATAACTTTTCAGACTTTTTCATCTGTAGCTATGTCTCTAACTATATGTGATGGTGTGATAAGTATTACTTCATAACCATCGCTGATTACAGTGAGGTAATTACAGACATCTTTCTAATTCACTAAGCCTTTTTTTTACCACATCATTTTAATGATTATGTTAGTTTCTTTTATTGTTAAAAATTTATATTGTTTCTAGATTTTAATGTTGTAAATAATCTGTAATGACCTTCTTTGCACTGTATATTTGTATACATTTTGGTTATTTCCTCAGGAGAAACTTCAACAAATGGAATTACTTAGATCCAAGGGCAGGGTAGGCATGTTTTGGTGGCTTCTAATACATATTACCAAAATGTCCTTCCAAAAGATGTTATGGGTTTATGCTACTAAGAGAATATAAGTGTGTCCATTTTGCTGTATTCCTATCAATATTCGGTATTAGCACTAAAAAATTATTTATTAAAAACTAGTATCATTTGAATTTACATGTTCTTGCTTCTTGGTGAAGTTGTATATTTTTCCTATATTTACTGACTGTTATCAACCAAATTCCCTTTTGTGTTCTTGGCCTTCAAAACTTGTAATTAAGTGGTGTTAATCTTTTACTCCTTAGTTTCATCTTGCTGAAAGTAAGAACAGGTTATATAATAGGCTCATGGAATTTTGACAAGACCATACCTTGTTTCATTCTCTCAATTATAGATGATTTTACCCAGACCTGGAACTATAAGCGAGTTTCTCTCAAAGTCCTACCCCCAGTGTATGGCAGACAGAGCTAAGACTCCTGGGCTTGTCCCTACATAGAATCAGTTGTGTGTATTGTGTTTTAAACCATTATACATATATTTCCTTGGTTAAAGATATTTTCAGAATTTATATTTGGTGATTAATATTTCACGTTGATTTTGGAAGCTAAGTAAAATAAAATGCAAATAGTACAACTAGTGGCAGGTCCTAAAATTTAGGGAACATTAGCATCAACCTGGAGAGCTTGTTTATTTTGAACTGATTTTAGACTGAACAGAAACGTTGCAAAAAGAGTACATAGTTTACACATATTCCTCGTCCACTTTCCCAAATGTTAACATACTATAGTAATGCAAAATTGGGAATCACCATTGGTATAATACTAATTAATAGCATTAATAAATTAATTAGTATACATTAAGAAACCATAAACCTTATTTAGATTTCACCATTTTTCCAAAAACACCCTTTTTGTGTTTCAGGATCCCCAGTTGACTTGGTCACTCTTCCTCCTAGTGTCCTCCAATCTGTGATAGTTCTTTCTCTTCCATGACCTTGACACTTCTGACGAGTACTGATCAATTGTTTTGTAGAATGTCCCTCAAATAGGGTTTGTCTGCTGTTTCCACACAGTTGGAACAAGATTATGCACTTTGACGAGAATGTGTCCTTCTTAGTGCATCACATCAAATGGTTCATGCTGTTGGTAAGTGTTATTACTACTGGTGATGCTGAGCTTGATTTAGTTAAGGTGATGTCTGTCAGGTTTTTCCACTGGAAAGTTCCTGTCTTTCCCTTTGTAGTTAATAAATACTTTCAAACTATGTAAATCCTCTTCCTCCTCACACCTTTGCCCACTAATTTTAACATCCATCTATGGTTGTGCAAGTAAATTTAAGCAGGAGTTTATTATGTGGATCTTTGTAAGTTACTGCTAAGCCATCTAGGTGGGGTCATTTCTGAGGATAGGCAGATTTGGTAGACTTTATTAAACTAGCTAGAAACCCAGGTAGTAGTTTTAATGTTATAACTAGGAAATGGTAGACAGGTTTAACCCCATCATGTTAAGCTCATGTGCTCTTTGGAGTGATTAGCTCCGTTTGCCTGGGATGGAAGGGATTCAAAGGCAGGAGACCTTCAGAGCTGTACTGGGAATGCTCCAGGCAAATGAGATGAGTGGGTCACCCTGGGGGTCAGGTAGTTGTCTTTAAAAAGAACTTAATGCTTATAAATGCATCGAGTAGCTTGGTTTTGTTGCTTTACTTTTTCTTCTTTAAAGACTTTTATTTTTAAGTAATCTCTGTACCCAGCATGGGGCTCAAACTTCCAACCCCAAGATCAAGGGTCACATGCTCTACCGACTGAGCTAGCCAGGCGCCCCTGTTTTTCTTGTTTTAATCTCAAGTGTTGTAGAGTCACGTGGCGCTGATACCAACACTGGTTGATTAGCTTTTCCTCATGCTGGGTTTCCATCTGAGTTTTCGTGAATGCTCTCTGTGACTACTTTGGCAGAAAGGAGAGGATCAAAAGCAGATGTGGAGTTTTCAGCCTTGGCTGCATGTTATAGGCACCTGGGGAAGGGAGGCAGTTAAAAAATACGGACCTCTGGGCCCTCCTCTAAACAATTAGAATAGAATTCCTGGGAGAGGGGCCTAGGGTTTGTTAAAATTTTTAAAATTCTCTGGATGTTTTTAAGGTGCGTCTAGGGTTGAGAACCACTGAAGCAGAGGAGGATGTGGAACCATCATGTAACCGTTTATGGTGGTGAAGATGTGTTTGTTCTGTTCGTGTCTCTGTTCTTGTAGTTTCAACTGCCTTCAGTGAAAAGGTTGAAAGAAATAGCAGATACTTGGTATGAATGCTTACTTCCTTTAAAAACCTCAGTTGTGAATTTTTACTATTAAAACTCCAAATGCAATAAGATACTGTTACATTTTATTTATTTTTTTAAAGATTGTATTTATTTATTTGACAGAGAGAGAGAGAGAGCACAAGCAGGGGGAAGCAACAGACAGAGGGAGGAGGGGGAAGCAGCAGACAGAGGAAGGAGGGGGAAGCAGGCTCCCCGCCGAGCAGGGAGCCCGATGGATGCGGGACTCGATCCCAGGACCCCGGGCCAAAAGCAGATGCTTGACCGACTGAGCCACCCAGGTGCTCCGATACTGTTACATTTTAAATTGCGAAGATTAAAAAGTTAAGATTTGTCGGGAACTATCAACAGAATATTTCTGCAAGTTGAATTCTCACTGAGCCAAAGTTTTTCTAGCTAAGCTTTCTTCCCAAGGCAGTTGGTTGCCTATATAGGCAAAGGATTTTTAGGTTGTTCTCACATGTCCTATCCCCATTCCCACTAAATAAAATCATTTCTTTGCTCCTTGTTTATTTTCTTTTAATTACATGCTTTATTTGGAAGCTGGTCCCAAGAAATAAAAATGAGGAAGTAGGGAAATGAGACAAGGCAGATAGGAAAGCTACCCACAGTGGTGTCAATGAGCAGCTTTATGTTCACTCCCAATAAGAGAGCCTCTGAGAAGCTGTGTGGAACAAACTCAGAATCACCCCAGTTGAATATGGGAGACTGCAACATTTATCCACCTTCCTCCATGCCCCTTTGTTTGAGGGGTGCCCTCAGAACGTTCATTCCCATACCCCTGGTACCTATGTGCAGTCAAGGAAGTTCTTTGGTACCAAAGAAAACCTCAGGCAGAAAAGAGATGCTTTTTTTTTTTTTTTAAGATTTTATTTTTGAGTAATCTCTACACCCACCGTGGGGCTCGAACTCACAACACTGAGATCAGGAGTCACGTGCTCTACCGACTGTGCCAGCCAGGCGCCCCTGGGCTTATTTATTTTTTATTACTTTCCCCCTCATTCCAGTAGTCTTGTCTTGAGGAGATCCCTAGAGGTTTTATTGCACTGTGGTCACTGTCGCTTCAGAAGCAGCAGAGGGCGCCACTCAGAAGGTTTCCTGCTTCTGGATGCTGAGCTGGTGTTTCCTCCAGGGCCCTTGCAGTCATATGACTGCTTTGAAGAATTTCACTCCTTGGCTGGGATCCCAATTCTTTTTTATTTTGATTGGGGCTTTGGAAGTATCACCTCAGTGGATGGAAATAATTGTTGGGCTAGTTATTTTAATAAATGTAAAGATAGTAAATCGAACCAACTGCCTTATCCTAAGTGGTATAAACATGATGTTGCTCTCAACGCTTTTACAAATTAGTGTGCTGAAAAATGCACTCAAGATTTGGGATTAATCCTTTATTTCATTCTTGTACCAGTGATTTCAGAAAACACAAAAAGGTTTTCCCCTACTTTTCTGCTTTTAAAATTTACTTAGAGTTGAAAAACCAAGAATGTCATTGGTTGTTGAACTTCTGAGCTTGCAGTTGACCTGAGGTGACTGCTACCACTCTAAAATCAGGGACAGGGAACTTGTTTCCCCAGGGCTTCTGACAGTGGCTTAAATATAATAGGTATTCAGTGAATATTGATCGACTGAATGATGGATACTGAAGCTTTGAGATCGCAGCCACACTTCAAGTCAGGGTCTGCCTCCACTCACAGTCAATTTAATAATCCCCTTTGGGGAAAAATTATAAATATTTCATGGAGGATATATCTGAATTATAAGAACTCTTGAATTCTGATAGGTCAAAAAAATTGTACACTTCAGTTGGTCCTTCAATGTTGTAGGTCATAGACACCTTTGAAAATGTGGTCTGTACTCTGGAATCTTTCCATAGGAAAACATGTACATTCACAGAACCTCGCCTGCGATGCCTCAAGCCTGGCTGCAGAGCTGCTAGGGAAATCTGTGGACCTTCTGTTAAGGCTGCTTTTCTGTCCCCCCCCAGTTGCTTGTCCTGGCCACAGCAGACACGACAAGAGGAGATCTTTCTTTCTTTATTTCTTTCTTTCTTTTTCTTTCTTTCTTTCTTTCTTTCTTTCTTTCTTTCTTTCTTTCTTTCTTTCTTTCTTTCTTTCTTTCTTTCTTTCTTTCTTTCTCTTTCTTTCTTTTCTTTCTTTCTTTCTTTCTTTCTTTCTTTCTTTCTTTCTTTCTTTCTTTCTTTCTTTCTTCTTTCAAGATTTTATTTATTTATTTGACAGAGAGAGAGAGAGCACACAAGCAGGGGGAGCCGCCGAGGGAGAGAGAAGCAGGCTGTCCGCTGAGCAGGGAGCCCGATGCAGGGCTCCATCCCAGGACCCCGGGATCATGACCTGAGCCGAAGGCAGACGCTTAACCAACTGAGCCCCCCAGGCGCCCCAAGAGGAGATTATTTCTGTGCGACATGTCTAAATATTTTGTTTTTTTCCCAGGGCTTATTGACTATAATTTTCATTGCTTCCGGAAAGCCATCCATGAGGTTTTTGAGGTGAGGATGAAAATGGTGAAATCACGAAAGGTTCAGAATCGGCTGCAGAAGAAAAAAGGAGCCACCCCCAATGGGACCCCTAACGTGCTGCTGTAGTGAGGCTTCAGGAGTGTCTTTGCGCATCAGACCTTTCAGCGAGGCCGCTGCGCTGTGTTGCACTGAAGGAAGAGGAAAAAGGAGATTGGGACACATGACGTATTTGTTGTACAAAAAAAAAAAAAATCCCTGCAACCCTCTTGATCTTCTCTTTTTTAAATAAAGTGAGCACTTTGAAGCCAAAACTTGTATTTTAACAATGAAGTAAAATCTACTGTAATTTCGTTACACAGATGTAAACTTTTATGGTCTGTAGTCAGAAACTCCTAGGTGAGGACTTCCAGGAACTGTATATATTTTGCTCTTTTTCATGTTTTTTTTCTTTGAACTTTGATAAAACGACTTTTCTAAGCTTTTTTCTGTACTTGGTGTCAAGGACATGCATACTGTAATGTAGTTCAGATCTCTATGGCAATCAGAAATCAAAAAGCAATGCACTGGCAAAAACTTTTTTTTTTATAAATTTGGGAATCTTCGCTACTAATTGTTGAGAAAAATCATTTTTCAGTGGAGCTGGAACAGATTGGGGCAGCAAGCTCCAGGAGCAATAAGAACTGTCTCCTGTTTATAACTGGTATAAATGGGAGTTTTATAGAATAACATTAGCACCAAACTTACCTAAAAATTTCTATAGCTGTGGCAGGACTTCCCTACTCAACAGTTTTTACAAAGCTCTTTACCTCAACACACATCTCTAGAATCATTTTATACAGAGAGGTTATTCCTTTTTGCTGCATTTCTGTTCTTTAGAACCTTCGGGACCAGATTTCCAAAGTGGTGCCAATCACTGGAGAGAAAGAGGAATGTTGCATTTCAGGGTTTCTGGAGGCTGTTCTGTACCTGCCACTCAGGCTGAAGTTACATCAGAGGTCACATGGTTTCCCAAATGTAGGTGATTGGTTACCTACAGATTTAAAAATAGATATACAATTTGTATGTTTGGCCCCTGGGGAGTGGGCTTGTTGTTGTGCAACATTTAAAATGCTTATTTAGGATCATGAGCACAGGGAATGTCTCATGAGGATCTCTACCGCAGAGCATAATCCTGGTGAGCACATTTGTCAGCCCTGAGCCTCCTGCTCATCCACGACAGTGTGCCTTGTGGACTCTGCCCGTTCCCACCTTAGAGTTGAACTAGAGCTCAGGGGCCAGCAGCAAACCCCTAACTATCGACGGAAAGAGGACGGCCAGAGGGGGCATTACAGTCAGCTCTGTGTTTGTTTCCAAGAAATTCTTCCACTTAGGTTTACTTCAGACTTTCAGGACGTTAAGGGACCCCCCAAATCTCCCTTCACCCCAAACCATTCCTGGTAGATAATTCTATGTCCATTAGGTAATTCTGTGTCCGTCCCAAGGGTCAGTGCCCGAAAGCCTACTTGTGGGTATTAGAAAATAATTTTATGGATTTATGTATTTTTAAGCAAAGACTCATAAGGAAATCAAAGCTGGTCCTAGCAAAATGTACCAAGTTCGTAAAGCGACTTGCCCTTGAAACTCTCCCGCTTCTATCTGTGGCTTCCTTCCATCCTCTCTCCTTCCCTCCCCAAGTCCTATTCCTTTGAGGTTGCTAACTGCAATGCAAGATGGTAGCTGATTGAGGTGTAAGGTTTGAGTCTTCCCAAGGGTCTGTGCATTTTGGAAGGAAATTTCTAAAAATCATTAAGGCGACCAACTCCCTTCCTCATGATTCCTGCTCAGAAACCTGGGTGGGTAGGAACCCAGGGTTCCAAAGGAGACTTTTCCTTAATTTCTAGCCCTGTATCCTGTTGGATCTTTGGATCTTTGCCAACAGGTTTTACAGGTGGGTTATTCTTATAAATTTAATGTTCTAATATTTTTTACACAATGTTTCTTTTTGATTAGTAAATAAAGAATCACTTTTCTAATGTGACTTTATCCTCAAGGTAGAGACGCTTACCTATCTGGTTAATCACACATTACTAAGGTATATTATATATTATTGTAACCAGGAGGAGTTTCCATTTTTAAGCTGGGTATATGATGGGTTTTTGTTAAAATGTGCCTTAAAAGTCTATTACTTCAGGAGCAAATGATTTTTTGGGGGAAAAGCAAAAATAATCCTATGGCATAGGACTGGAGTTCATGGTAGTAAGTGCACTCTTTGATTGATCACACACTAATACATTAGGATTATTGCCTCAAACCTGTAGCATGGCAATGACCTCTTAGTTAAAGACAGATGTAGGAGTTATGTCTAAGTGTTTAATTTTTTAAGTCTGAGCTATTGGAATTACAGAATCTCTTCTATTCCTTTTGCATTTTATTTTCGATATGGAACTTAGCTTACTGCGATGTGTATGGCCATGTTTAGGTCTCAAATCTCATGCTATAAATACAAAGCCCAAATACATGGCTACAGTGACTTCTCTGGAACATGTTTGCTCATTTTCAAAGGTTGAGAACTTGACCTACAGGTTTCTGGGGCAATTAGAACTTCTATGTGGAGGTGAGACTGTGAATTACCATCTTTGGTTATTTTTAGTGATATAAATGAGTGTGTATGACCAGGGTAGAGTGTTTTTGAAGGAATATAAATTAAAAAAAAAAACTGGTTGGCGCTCACGGACACTGTTCTTTTGTGCATAATATACTTTGGACCCTTAAATATAAAATGACTAGAAACACAGCAATATTGTTATATACGGGTTATATGCTAACTCTGTTTGAGACATACTCCAGAAAAATGGCTGAAATGTCTTGATTATTAAAGTATGGTATGCATTTAACTTCTATAGACTGGTTGTAATTTATAATCAAGCATAGTATTATGTTTTACTTTAAGCAGTACATAATTTGTAATTATTGCTAAACCATTTCTTTCAAGAATGTTAACTGCCAATTTAAAAGCATGTGTCATGCTCATGATTTGGTAAGGCTCTCGTTTTATTTCAAGCATATTCATAACTAAGCATTCTGGGAACAGAAAATTCTCTTTGGTGAAGCATAAGTATGGTCCGTGCTGTTTGTGAGGTTGTTGACCATACGTGAACATCATTGCTTCACTTGGTCCTGTTAAGTCCCTTTAGTAAAATGTTTGTCCTGATTAACCAGCTTTCATTTTATGGAAATGAGGATAAATCCCTCTATTTGCACTTTTATTTTTATTATATTTTTAAACCCCCTTATCTCTCCACATTTGTTATGGGAACATGGCTGTTTGGAATATAGAACTGTTTTTGTTTTCGTTTTTTTCCAGTAAACTTCAGATACTAATTCTTGCTGCTCTGGTCCTAATCCCTAGCCATCTGGAAATTCTTTTCCAAATGGTCCACCTTATCGATTCTGACTTGCTTCGTAGGATTCCACTCTGTAATGACTTTTACAGATCCCTAAGAGTCCCCAGAGAAGATTAGCTTTAGATGTTATATTTTATATACAAAATTCTTTTTTTTTAAGAATTTATTTATTTATTTGACAGAGAGACACAGCGAGAGAAGGAGCACAAGCAAGGGGAGTGGGAGAGGGAGAAGCAGGCTTCCTGTTGAGCAGGGAGCCGGGCTCAATCCCAGAATCCTGGGACCATGACCTGAGCCGAAGGCAGACTCTTAACGACTGAGCCACCCAGGGGCCCTATATACAAAATTCTGTTTCTGATTGGAAAGACTGATCAAAAATAATATTTTTCTAAGATTTTTAATCGGTAGTAATGTTGAGTTTAGGAGAAAGAAAATGTCTTTGACAGAATTACTTACTGATAATATATAATGATTGAGTGCACACAATATTTCAGGCTCTTCAGTGCTTTTACGGAAGTTATCTTCATAAAACCAAGAGATGGGTACTATCACCATTCCTGTTTTACAGATCAGGCGACTGAGGGTAGAGAGTTGACATAACTTAGTCAAGATCGCATAACTAGTAAGACACAAGGCTGGGAGTCTGGCTGGATAGTCCACCCTCTCGATACTGTCCTGGGGCGCCTGGGTGGCTCAGTTGGTTGGGCGGCTGCCTTTGGCTCAGGTCATGATCTCTGGGTCCTGGGACTGAGCCCCACATTGGGTTTCCTGCTCAGCACAGAGTCTGCTCCTCTCTTCTCTCCCTCTGCCCCTCCCCACTCTCTCTCTCTCAATCTCTCTGTCTCTAATAAATAAATGAAAAATATTTTTTAAAAAAATAACTGTTCTAAGCAGCTGTACCACATGTCCCTTTACATGTCCTCCCTTCACAGATATGAAGATGGGGACTTGAAGTGTAGGATTTACTGCTGCATGGGGTTATGAAGGGTAAAATGCTGGAAATTTAAAAAGACATACCTTTTCTCACAGGAGAACCAATAAGAGCAGCCTTCTAAATGTACTTAACTCAAGATTATGCTTTCTTCTGCCGAATCCAATGCGGAAAATAATTTTAACAGAGTCTTTAAATTTCAGAAGAGAATTTAAATACCTTTTCCAGACATTTGGTTTTCTAAGAAGCAAAAGTATATCAAATTCTGAGAAAATCATGAGAATAAGCCTTTGATCTTACCTGGATTCAACCTTTTACATCAATATGTTCAACCATATTTATAGAAAACAAAACACTGATCTGGATTAAAATTCAAAAAGATACATTTCAATCCTAACCTTTTCTTGACCTGCAGACCTACCTTTAAAAGCGTACTTTTGCTGGAATCTTCTGTAAGAGGACCCTCCGCTCGAATATGCCCCAAACTGAATTCACTTCCTTCTTGCTAAATCTTCTCCTCCTGTGGTGGTGTGAAGATGCTCCCTGCAGACCCTGTCAGAAACGTGGGCCTCCTTGACTCTCTCTTCCTGCTCACTCCATCCAATCAACCACCCAGTTCTTTCAGCTCAGCCTTATAAACATCTATTCAATCTATTCTCTCCATCTCTTTTGCCACTATCCTGGTTTAGGTCACCATCTCTGCTTCTGTGGATCTCAACAGCTTCTTAACTAACGTCTCTCCACCTCATCCATCCATCCGTCCTCTCCATTCTCCACACAAGACCCAGAGTGACCTTTCTAAACCACCACCATTCTGACCATATCAGTCTCTTGCCTAATTTCCGTCGTAGCTCTCCATTATAGATATCAAACTCCTCAGTAAAGTTTGCAAGAACCTGCTTCCCTGGTTCTTACCTCCTTCTCCACCCTCAACGGAGGTGAGCCAGCCTGCCTATATAATGCGTGGTAAATAAGAGGAAGCACGAGTCTCGA